CATCATGTTATTAAAGACACTCTGGGGAGGGCCAAGGTTCGCCCATGAGCAGGGTCTGCTGCCATCATAAAGGTCCATATTTAACACACCTGACGAAGATGACAGCCTGTGGGGACTCCCCACTCCCTTTAACTAGTTGGGAGGGAGTCAAGAAACACTTGTAGTGACATACCAATCCAGTGCTCTACTGCACTGCAGATCAATTACAATACAGCAGGCATGCCAAACCATGAGCGAAGGCCAGATCCTAATAAAACAAACGTCATACTGACCCCCAAACATTTCATACTGCTATTGAGTACGGTCCTTGTATAGGCTTTAGATAATTTACCAAAAAACAGTTTCTGCATACCAAAATCTAATTGAGCAGAGAAACTAACTTTCTATAGTTTTATTCATTAGATGACATATCCTGAGTGGCAAACAATAAAATGTAGGTAATAAATATTGGACACAGCAAGCTCTTGAGGCTAGAAATAAGGACGGGAACGAAATAGAAAAAAGTAATCTCTGTCCTCATGGGGCTTACCTCCTAGCCGGAGGAAACAGGCGTTGCATAAAATTACCAAATGATATAGCATTTTAGAAACTTGAAGTATAGTGAAGAAAAGTTAAAAAGTGAAAGGGAGATAAAAAGTAGAGTGGAAAGTATGTGATTATATTTTAAATAGGGTAGTTATGGTAGGTCTTACCAAGAAAAAGAAATTTGAGCTTAAGTTTATGTAACTCATTGGCATGTCAGAGTTTCTTGAGGATGGTTAGTCATATCATTCTCCCTTCATAAAATTGATTTACAAAAAGATTAATGAGAAGATTACTTTAAAATAAGCTGTTTGGGGAAAGGAATGGTTTCTTCAAAAAATGGTGCAGAGACAACTGGATAACCACATGCAAAAGAATGAAGTTGGACTTCTACTCTATGCCATATAGAAAAATTAACTCAAAATGGATCAATGACCTAAATAAAAGCTAAAACTATAAAACTCTTCAAAGAAAACGTAGTCGTAAATCTTCATGACTTGGATTTGGCAATGGATTATTAGATTTGACACCAAAATCAATGAACAACAAAATACAAAAATAAATTGGGCTTCATTAAATTAAAAACTTCTGTGCATTAAAGGACAATATCAAGAATATGAAAAGATAACACAAAGAATGGGGAAAAATATTTTCAAATCATCTATCTGTTTGGCATTTAATATCCTAAATACATAAAGAACTCATAACTCAACAACAAAAAAGACAACCTAATTAAAAAATGAGAAAAGGACTTTTGAATAGACATTTCTCCAAAGAAAACATACAGATGGCCAATAAGCATATGAAAAGACGTTCAGCACTGGTTGTCAAGGAAACACAAATCAAAATCACAATGAGATACTTCTTCACACCCACTAGGATGGCTTTAAACAAAATAATGAAAAATAATAAGTGTTGGCAAAAATGTAAGGAAATGGAATCCCTTGTACATTCCCGGTAGGAATGTAAAATGGTGCAGCCACTGTGGAAAATAGTTCTTCAAAAAGTTAAACATACAATTACCATATGACTCAGCAATTTCACTCCTAGGTATATACCCAAAAGAAATGAAAACATATGTCCATGCAGAGACTTTACAATAATGTGTATAGTAGCATTATTCATAACAGCCAAAAGGTGGAAACAACCCAATGTCCATCAATGAATGAATGGATAAACAATTGTGGTATATACATCCAATGGAATAGTATTCAGCCATAAAAAGGAACGAAGTATTGATACATGCTACAACTTGGGAGAACTTCAAAAATATTATGCTACGTGAAAGAACTCAGACACTAAAAGCCATATAATTCCTTTTATATAATATATACAGAATAGGCAAATCCATAGAGACAGAAGGCAGATTAAAGGTTATCAGCAAGTCGGGGAGGGAAGAGTCAGGAGTGATGACTTATTGGTTAGGAGGTGTTTTTATGAGGTGATGAAAAAGCTTTGAAATTAGACAGAACTGGTAGTTACACAACATTGTGAACACACTAAGCACCACTAAATTGTACACTTTAAAATAGTCAATTGTATGTTTGTGAATTTCACTTCAATAAAAAAAGCTTTAATCATTCAAAAATTTTTTTCATCAAATTTTCAGGATCACATATTGTGTTTTATATTCAAATTTCAGTTCGGTATTCATTCCAGCCTTTAATCTATTTGTAACACTTAACCTTTTTTTAATAAATTTTTATTGAGATGCAGTTCACATACAAAAGAATCCACCCATTTTACATGTACATTTTGGTGAGTTTTCATAAATGTGTATAGTTCCACAACCACCACCACAATCAAATTTTTAAAAGCATTAAATACCTCAAAAAGTTCCCTCAGGTGTCTTTACAGTCAATCTCCACCCCCACATGTTGTCTGTCACTATAATGCTGCCTTTTGAAGAATTTCATATGAATGGAATCATACAGTGTATAGTCTTCTGTCTGCCTTCTCTCACTTAGCACACTGCCACTGAGTTTCATCTATGCTGTTGTATGTACCAGTAGTTTCCTCCTTTAAATTTCTGAATAATTTACCACGTTAAGTTTTTCCATTTACAAGTTGAGGTCATTAGTTGTTTCCATTTTCCAGCTACAATGAATAAAGCTTCTATAAACATTTACATACAAGACTTTTGTGTGGACGTAAGTTTCTATCTCTCTTCAGTAGATACTGAGGAATATAAATACTTTTTTCTGTTTAGCTTTTTAAGAAACTACTGAATTTTTCCAAAGTGGCTGAGCCATTTTCCATTCCCAGCAGCAATGTCTGAGGCTTCCAGTTGCTTCACATTCTGGCCAACACCTCCTATTGTGAATCTTTAATTACAGTCATTCTAGCAAGTGTGTAGTAGTATCTCCTTGTGGCTCTAATTTGAATTACCCTAATGCCTAATGATGCTGAGCATCTTTTCATGTGTTTATTAACCTTCCTATATCTTCTTTTGTGAAGTGTCTATTTAAATCTTTTGCCCATTTTTAATGTTATTCGTCTTCTTATGATTGAGTGTTAATAGCTCTTTAAATATCCCAGATACAAGTCCTTTGCAGATATATGTTTTGCAAATATTTTCTCCCAACTTGTGGCTGGCCTCTCAAATTAATTAAAATTACCTTTTGATGAGCAAAATTTTAATCTTGATGATATCTAATTTACCAATTTTTTCTTACATAATTTGTACTTCCTGTGTCTCTACGAAATCTTTTCTTAACCCAACTTCACAAAGCTTTTCTCCTGTTTTCTTTTGGAATTTTTTGCGTTATTTAATGCTTTTATGTAGTTATATAGAATTAACTTCTAAGTGTACAGTATGAGGTAAGAGTCAATGGTCACATTTTTTCCTTATAGATATTCCATTATTTCAGTACCTTTTTAAAAAAGACTATCCTTTCTCCATTGAATTACCTTGGCAACTTTGTGAAAAATCAAATGATGACGTAAGTGTGAGTTTGGCTCTGGAATCTCAATTCTTCTCCATCTTCTATTGACTATTTTTTCCCCTGAGTTTGGATCTCTCTCTCTCTTGTTTCTTTACCTGTCCATTCTGATTAAAAACTAGGCATTGTATGTCATAACACTGTAGTGACTCTGATTCTATTTGGTTCTTTTGAAATTTGCTCGCTTTCCTGTTTTAACGTATGATGGACTTGCCTAGACTCAAACTGAAAAATCTGTTTCTCTGCAGAGAGCTGAAATTTTTGCTCAGCGTTTTTTTTTTCCTTTTGCCTGGATCTCTGGGGATCTCTCTCGCGTCTGCATAGTTTCATAATCAGCCAATGATTTGAACTGAGGCTATATATAGACAACTCAAGTCAGCGATGCTTCCATCCTCTGCTGCGGGACCTACGTGTGGGTTGAAGAATTTCTTCAAACTTGCAACAAATAAATAAGTCTCCCCAGGCTTTCAGTTTTGCTTGTGTTCCCTAGAAAACCCCAAGGGCACATGTTGCTCCTTAGCAGTCAGCCATGAATGCGTGGACAGTATGTTATCTCAGCCCTTCAATAGCACTCTTGCTTCCAAAATCTTCCCCCTTAAATTTCTAGCTGTTCTGCTGCTCTTCTGGACCAAATTAGCCATGTCTAGCCAGTAAACCTGTGGGTTTTGACCACCAGATCTGGGTGGATGGTAAGATCTTCAGGTAGGAAGCATCTTACCCAATACAGTAGCAGTTTTTCACAACTAAACGTTTTCAAGTTCTTTGCTCTCTTTCATCATTTGTGAAATGGTTACATTTAATAATTTTTTCCAGTTTCACACTTCTACCATGTTGTTTTTTTTTTTTTTTGGACTGAGAATAAGCTAACCAACTCAGGCAGGCAGTCGCTAGTGGAAGTAGAGTCTTAACCATATTTTAAGCACTTGTGAATATATTATCATTATTTCATTTATCATTACATGAAAACAAATTACTTTAAAAATTAGCCAACTACAGCAGAAAACATCTTCTTGTTTGCAAAGATGAACTTCAGCTCCAATTTCTACAGGGTTGACAGAAACAGTAAAAGAAATCATATAATTAAGGTAGCCATGGTCTGTAACTCCACTAAGGTCTTTAAAATGTATATTACCTATCAGGAAATTTTTTTTTTTTTTGAGGAAGATTAGCCCTGAGCTAACTACTGCCAGTCCTCCTCTTTTTTTGCTGAGGAAGACTGGCCCTGAGCTAACATCCATGCCCATCTTCCTCTATTTTATCTGTGGGATGCCTACCACAGCATGGCTTGCCAAGCAGTGCCATGTCCACACCCGGGATCTGAACCAGCAAACCCCGGGCCGCCGAGAAGTGGAACATGTGAACTTAACCACTGCACCACCGGGCCAGCCCCCATCAGGAAAATTTTAAATGAAGTTTTTTAGACAAAAGAGTAGGTTCAATTTAGACCCAGACCTCCTGTTGGAAAAAAAAGCATTATTGAGTATAGAGTATCTCTTTTCAAATGCAGACAGTTCATTTGACTTTTAAGAAAATTACCTTGAAGGCTGCTAAACAATGAAGGCTCAGTAAGGCCATCACAACTGCCAGAAGGATGGTGGCTAAGTTCCGCACGTCCCATATGGTCTCGACCAGAGGGATGCTGCCGACCTGCCAGTCATAGCACAGGGTAACAGGTGCAAGCAGAAGCCACACGTTGAAGGCCAAGAGGTAGGAATAGGTGAGGAATCTACAAAGAAAAGAAGAACCACTGAAACACAACTCAAGATCCATGACACTTTGCAAACATTCCTTCACCATGTTTCTATTAAATAGCATTTCTATCCTGTCAATGTTATCTCACAGGAAAAGACAAGTAAGATGGAAAACCATTCATTCGTTTAGTCGTTAAATTGATCATTTTGGAATGTATCTACTGGCTCTAGTCACTGTGGTAGGTGCTGGTATTTCAATGGTGAACTATGTCAGTTTCCATGAGGTAGATTTAAAAATGATCATATAAATAAATACGTGACAACCTAAGATAAATGCTTTGAAGGAAAAGCGTGATGAAAATATATGCCAGAAATGTTGCCCTGTTGCCACATGCAAAAGAATGAAAGTAGACCACTATCTTATACCATACATAACAATTAACTCAAAGTGGATTAAAGACTTGACTGTAAGACCCGAAACCATAAAACTCATAGAAGAAAACATAGGCAGTATGCTCTTGAACATCAGTCATAGTGGTGTCATTTTGAATACCATGACTCCCTAGGCAAGGGAAACCAAAGAAAAAATATACAAGTGGGACTACATCAAACTTAAAAGCTTCTGCACAGGAAAGGAAATCATCAAAAAAATGAAAAGACGATCTAACAATTGGGAAAAGATATTTGAAATCATATATCGGATAAGGGGTTAATATCCAAAATAAACAAAGAACTCATACAACTCAACAACTAAAAAAACAAATAACCCCATCAAAAACTGGGCAGAGGATCTGAACACATATTTTTCCAAAGAAGATATACAGATGGCCAATAGGCACATGAAAAGATGTTCAACATTATTAATTATTAGGGAAATGCAAATGAAAACCACAATGAGATATCACTTTACACCCGTCAGAATGGCTATTATTAAAAAGACAAGAAATAACAAGTGCTGGAGAGGATATGGAGAAAAGGGGAACCCCCGTACACTGCTGGTGGGAATGTAAACTGGTGCAGCCACTCTGGAAAACAGTATAGAGATTCCTCGAAAAATTAAAAATAGAACTACCATATGATCTAGCCATTCCACTACTGGGTATTTATCCAAAGAATATGAAGTCAATAATTCAAAAAGATATATGCACCCCTATGTTCACTGTAGCATTATTTACAATAGCCAAGACATGAAAGCAACCTAAGTGTCCATCAAGGGATGAATGGATAAAGACGTGGTACGTGTATACAGTGGAATACTACTCAGCCATAAAAAAGAGATGAAATCTTACCATTTGTGACAACATGGATGGACCTTCAGGGTATTATGCTAAGTGAAATAAGTCAGAGAGAGAAAGACAAATGATTTCACTCATAAGTAGAAGATAAAACAACAACAAACACACACATAAATACAGAGAACAGACGGGTGGTTACTAGAGGGAAAAAGGGGTAATGGGAGGACAAAAGGGGTAAATGGGTTCTCTTTTTTTAATGCAGCAGCAAAACCAAAATGAATTATTTACCAATTTTCTATCATGAATTCTGCTAACAGGAGGAAAGCCACTAGAATATCTTGCCAACAAAATGGAATATATGGCATGGACAGCCAGGAACTCAGCTTAACCAAATGAGTCATGTATTTTCATTGATAAGTCGGAAAAGTCTGAAGAGGTTTCACATGCAAATACGTGAAAGGGACAGGGAGGATGTAGCCGAGGGAGGAAGGGTCATGCTGCAAATGGCACCTAATGAAACTGTGTGGCTCTTTAAAACTAAATCTTCATTTTTATCAAGAAAAAAATTAGACTTTTTTAAGTGCAAAAATATACATAGATTCTGTGCTCTGCCTTTGAAAATACATTTTCAGCTAAGAAATAACATGAGCCTAACATATTCCCTTGTCCTAGAAAGATGCCTACGACAGGTACATATGAAAAAATCATGCACAGCAAGCAGAAACGTACAGTACTTGCTTGTTTTATATAAAAATGTTACTGCTCAAAGGATCCTTCTTTTTCTTTCATCTACAAAATCCTCCACCGTTTCATAAATACAGGACATTGGGGCCTCTGTACACACATCGTGTCCTCTCAGGACGGGCATCAGCTAACACTGTCAATATCAGTCAACACACAGCCTCCGTGCAAACCACCTTTACACTATCATGGAGCACCAACCCTGCCCTGACTCTACCTCTGTCTGAGTTTTAGTATCTGTCCTGTCCTGCCCCTAGGCTGTCCCCTATGTTCATCCTCACAATTCCTAAATTACCATTGATGGGTCGCCACAGCCTCACTGTGTGCCAGCAATGACAGGCCTTTGCAGGCATAACCTGCTTATTATCATCATTACCATCTTCTTCCCCTGCCTATCACCTCCTCCAGGACTAGCCAAAGAAAGCCACTTCCCGTGTGATCCTCCTCAGTAGACAGGCGCCCCTCACTGGGAGTCAATGAACCTTGAATAATGACCGTGTATTTTTCTAGATGCTGAAGAGTAATAAGATCTAGCTCCCTATCCTCCAAAAGGGCAGTTCACAGCATTGGTGGTGAGAACACATACACACATTACATGGTTGTGCAATAGTGAAATATAAACATCAAACTTCAATGGAGTTCTAAGAAATGACAGATTAATGAAAAATGGAGGATTAAGGAATGACCTCGTAAAATCTACACAGAATTTAACTAGGTGAAAAGATGGCAGATAGAGAGTTCAGGCAAGGCTAAAAAATAAAAATAGCTTCAATTGTATAGGAACATGACACTTTCTGAGAACAGTTAAGAATATGGGTCATATGAGGGTACAGAATTTAAAATATGCAATATAAAAAAATAATAAAATGACTTCTGCTATAATGTCTGAAATGAAAAATACAGCATCAAGCATTGGTGAGGGATGTGGAGAAACGGGAACTTTGAAGCATTAGTGTTAACTGATTAAACCACTGTGGAGAACTGTAGACAGTTTCATGAAAGCAGAGTAAATGCAATTTCATGACCTACTCCTGTTTATGCCCAACAGCGTTGCACTGCATACCTATGTTTACCAAAAGACATCACAAGATTGTTCATGGCAGCACTAATCTTAACAGCTCCAAACTGGAAACAACCCAGACGTCCATCTACAATAAAATGGATACATAGATTGTAGTATATCCATTCAATGGAAATCTCTTCAGCAAGGAGAATGAACGCAACAACATGGATGAATGTCATCATGGTAATGTGGATCAAAAACAAGACACAAAAGAAAAGGAAATCAAGGAAAACCATCTATAGGCAAGGATGGGGTGAGTGGAAGCAGGATCTGATCCCCAGGACACAAGGCTGGGCAGAAAGTCCCAAGACAATCCCCGTTGAAGGTCCACCACCCTCATCTCCTTGCTCCTCCACGGCCACAGAGGAGAAGGTGCCAGACAACGCTGTGGCCCTGCCTTGGGGCATTCCAGGGCCAAGGCTCATCACCAGCACGGAACACTTGCTGCTTCAGCACCTGGGAATAGAGATGTTAGGACCATTTCCAAACAGTTATGAAAAAGGAAAAGAGATCCAAGGACTCTCTGGGCAACTTCTCTTTGTGTTTTGGTTTTAAAGTTCGTCTGGCTTATAAGGACTGAGGGTATAATTAAACCAGCTCAACTAAGGGTAGGGTTATTTTAAAAATTCCCACAAGCATCTGATGACAGGAAGTTAAGAGTGAAACCAGGCTTCTTAGGAACCAAACCCAGCAGCTACAACAAAGGAAGGTAGCACCTTCTCTGGGCTGCGGGTCGTCTTCACAGCTGCCCTGCTTCTCTCTGTATTTGCTCCTTTTCCCAGCTCTGTTCACGGGCTTCTCATCCATGCTTTTCATAACTGAGGCGGGAATGTGGGTCACGGGGGCTGCCCCAGCCTCTCCTCTTCTCTTGTATTCACACACCTGTCACTTCTGTCTTCCCGGCCAATTGCGTCACTCTCAGATTTCAAATTCCTGAGAGCAGCACCTCAGTGGTTCCCCTCATCTTTGCGAATCAATTCTCACAGGTCGCTGAACTCCCACTCCTCCTCATCCTTCAGGTCCAACATAGATACCACTTCCTCTGACAAGCCTTCACCGGCCTAGCTCCCTCCCTAGGCCAGGCTGGTGTCCCTCTGATGTGATCCCGCAGCCTCGGGGTCACACACTGCCCTGTCCTGCCTGTCTTCCCACCAAAACAGAAGCTCCTCGAGGACAAGGCTGTGTCTTGTGCTTAGTTATCTCCCAAGCACCCAGCTCTTTAAATGGATGAGTCTTTTGGGTTTTAAGAAATTAGACTGACATTAAAAGAATGCTTAAAAACCTGGAAATATTTGAATTTTATACTTTTCTTTTGGCCTGAGGCAACCATGCATTTTTCTATAGTCCAATAAAAGACACTGGCTAGGTTTCCAGTTGTCCAGGAATGTAGCTGAAGGGTGCAGATGGAAGAGTCTGCTTTGCGGCCCCCACCCTCTCCCAGCACCTAGTGCCATGCTAGTTCGTGGCACGCTGTCAAACAGTGAGGAGTGTACGAGTAAGACACTCCCCCTCACGTCGTACAGCATCATTATAAAGCTATGCTTGGCTTACTTTTTCTTACTTTGCATTAAACTGCAATGAAACAGTTGAAATGAGTACTCTTGTTACCATGGGTAAACTATAAAGTGAATCCGAAATGTCATTAAGTCTCTCTGACCTTTTTAATGTGCCATTGATACAGCTATCTTATTAACAGAGACAGCTTCGTCAGAGTAGAAAAAAGGAATTTCAACATCTAAAACTGTCAGCAACAACTTCCTACTGGTATATCTACAACAAAGCAAATAATGCCTTCTGCAAAATAAAGACTTGGTTTATTTCTTACCTACAGTCTGTTTCCCTCTATAAAGCATTTAACAAGATCTTTATTTCAAACCCACATACTTTCTCTCATCAAGCACAGGTTTAGCTTCCACGGAGCAAATATGCACCGATTGGTTACAATGCATCAGGCATCGATTTCCCAATTTCTACACAAAGATCTTGTCTGCCTGCC